GACCCTCTGTCACGGTCACTCATTCCCTGACCTTTGCAATGCCCCTTGTCATCTGAATCAATCCATGTTTGTGTTGCCGCTTTTCAACTACGTAAAGTGTCTTGAGCTAAGTTTGAGCTAAGGTGCCCTGTAAATATAAAGTAAGATCTTGTGTCTGTCCGTGAAATGTTTAACATCCTTCTTAAAAAATAAAATAGAACACACGTTGCTGTTACTTCTTGAGTCGAGTTTGAGTGGTCTATGTAATCGCACAGATTTTAAATCCTTACAGAATAGGATCATATGTAACACATGATTATAAAGGACACGAAACCGGGTATGCGGAATTCACCCGAATGCGTAATTAAGACAGCATGCTACAGTATCGATGCACTCCGAATCCTTTATTATTGTACAAGTCAATTCACATGCAAGATCCAGAGTTGTCACACACCCGGGTCTAACAGACGGACGCTGACGCATGTGGATTACTATTGAAAAGCAAACAGTACATTAAACAATAAACCTTCTCAAGACACCGAACACATTTCAAAATAATGACTACGGGTTTTGTCTAGTTTTTTTCCCCCCATTAGGGGTTGCCACGATGTAACGATGATACGATACTAAACTAAAAACGAAACTATTTTTTATTTTACCAGGTAAAGCCCACTGAGCTGTATAGCTCTCTTTCAGAAGCAATCTGACAACAAGTAATAGCTCAACGAAGTGGCTTATCACGTGGACATTTATAGCAGCCATATCCTGTAAACGAGTGTTTATACGTGGAGGGAAATATAACGGAAGACCATGCAACCACGGGGAGAACATGCAGACTTCAAATAGATAGCAGGCGTCAGGATTCGGGATCGAAACGACGACCTCCTGCTTACCAGGCAAGGGAGATGACATCTCCCTACTGCGGCATCCCAGATGATACATCGTGTGATATAAAATCCGCGATAATTGTGCTGTCCGATTTGCTCTCGGTTTACGGGTCGACCCACGTTGCCACCCTCGCCGAAGGTCACGAACTTTGGATAATAACCGGAAGGATGAGATCGTGGGTACAAGCGGCCGAGATTTCTCCGCAGGGTTGCCGGGCTCATCACTCTCCGAGATCGTGGGAAGAGATCGGTAACCCAGGAGAGCCTCAGAGTGGAGCCGCTGCTCCTCCGGATCGAGAGGAGCCAGTTGAGGTGGATCGGGCACCTGGCGAGGATGGGGCCCCCGGTAGACTCCCCCTGGAACTCTACCGGGCGGCAGCAGCAGCATCAGCAGCAGCATCAGCAGCAGCACCAGCAGCAGCAGCACCAGCACCACCAGCAGCAGCAGCATCAGCAGCAGCATCAGCAGCAGCATCAGCAGCAGCAGCAGCGTCCCACTGGGCAAAGACCCCGGGGCCGGCCCAGGACCACGCTGCTGCTGCTGCTGGCGGGACGATGTCGCTCGGCAGGCCTGGGAACGCCTGGGAGTACCCCAGGAAGAGCTAGAGTCTGTGCATTGTGTAGTGTATTGTAGTGTATAGTGTGGTGTATAGTACTGTATAGCGTAGTGTATTGTAGTGTATAGTGTAGTGTATTGTAGTGTATATTGTAGTGTATAGTGTAGTGTATAGTGTAGTGCATTGTAGTGTATAGTGTAGTGTATTGTAGTTTATAGTATAGTAGTGCATAGTGTTCTATATAGTAGTGTATAGTATAGTAGTGTATAGTGTAGTGTATAGTAGTGGAAAGTATAGTATATAGTAGTGTATAGTAGTGTATAGTGCAGTGTATTGTGTTGTGTATAGTAGTGTATAGTGTAGTATTTAGCAGTGTATAGTGTACTGTATACTAGTGTATAGTGTAGTGTTTAGTATAGTAGTGTATAGTGTAGTGTATAGCGTAGTGTATAGTATTGTAGTGTATAGTATAATGTCTAGTATTCTAGTGGATAGTGTAATGTATAGTATAGTAGTGTATAGTGTAATGTATAGTATAGTAGTGTATAGTGTAATGTATAGTATAGTAGTGCATAGTGTAATGTATAGTAATGTAGTGCTAGAGTCTGTCGCTAGGGAAAGGGAGGTCTGGACCACCCGACTCAACACGCTGTCGCCGTGACCCTCACCAGGACAAGCGGATTAAGATTCGAACGAACGGCCAGTTCACATATCACCAAGTTGCGAGCGAGTCGGATAGGGGCCGTCCATAAATGACGTCACGCAGCTAGGGGGGGGGTCAGACATTTGTGACGTGGGGGGGGTGAGAAATGTGACGTCACATCAAAATGCCCAACTTTAAATAAATATAGAATTGTTATAACAACACTAATTGTTATAACAACACTCCTACAACATCAGAGTGCAGCGCCACATTAAATACGCACTACAATGACAATCGTTTTGAAGCATGTTTTATTTTCAAAATAAAAATATGGTTTTCGGGGGGGGGGGGGCAGAGCTTTGTGACGTCATATTTGAGGGGGGGGGGGTCTGACTTTTTGTGACGCCGTGTGACGAGGGGGGGGGGGTCAAAAATCGTAAAAAATCGCGTGACGTCATTTATGGACGGCCCCAAATGCCGTATTGTACTCCACGTTAAAGAGAAGCAGCAGGGCGCTTGTATAATTAGCGTGAAATCTCAATCTCTCACGTGCATTGCAACCCCATTGTGATGACCAATCTACGAGCCCAGGCAACGCGACTACGATCGCTTCAACGTATTTACATTTCATCACAGGGGGACTCAGAAGTTGAAATCGTCCCCCTACTTAAATAAACGGAGGCAGGGGCTCATTGCATTTGGCAGTGACTCATTGATATTTCATGAATGATGGGCAGAGTCAACCCCCACCTAAGTGGAATTCCCCTCAATGCTACCATGGGTAATGGTTAGCAATCTGTGACTTGCAATCAATAGGTCACTGTTTTTGACCTTCCAACATGGCGTTCGAAACGATGGGACTAGTTTTCTAGAGCCCGCTCACTGCTGTTTACCCAGCCGGGTGACTGGCTAAGTCCAGCGTTGGTGGTGTAAGGGGGTGGGTTTCTCCCATTTCCTTTAAGGCGTCTGGCCAGCGTCAAAGAGTAGGTGATATACCTTTGAGAGGATCTCTATTGATATCCTCATAGTGGAGGCTCTTCCCCAAGCAGGGATGTGGGCAAGCAATTGCAGGGCTGCGCAATTCAACTTGTTTCAAGTATGAAGCCCAATCAACCGCTCTGCAAAAGTCGTAACCAGGGACTGCATCTGTGTTTCATTTGCATTCAGGATAAACCCCACAACAACAACAACAACAACAATCACAAATATCAACATTTAGACCGGAAATGCACACTCGCAGCTGGTGAACACGATGCTACAACGAGCAACTCGGTGTGGGAAGGCCATCATCCAGCAGTGGATTGAGAAAGACTGACGGAGGTGAGTGCCACGTGACGCTGCGGGTTCGAGCGCTTGACCCACGTGCGACAGGAAGGCATTGGGGGTCAACTCGGCCCACCAGTCCCCTCGGGGTGAATCACAATTAGTGGCGCTTTGTCAGCACTCAACGCTGGAAATGGTCCTCCATTGGTGGAGAATTGAATGCTGCAGCGGCCCTTGGAAATGCGGGAACTGTTGCCACGAGGTTCAGCAGCGCCGGATGAAGAGGAGCGACCGCCTCACAGCAGCGGTCCCCAACCCCTGGGTCACGGACCGGTCCGTAGCCTGTTAGGAACCGGGCCTCATAGCAGGAGGTGAGCGGTGAGTCCGCGCGTGGCCCGCCAATTATTTTATTATTCACTACTTCCATCCACGCCTCTTTCCCGCACTGCGCGCTTGTCTCAGTCACGGTGTTGGTAAGCCCACAAGCTCTAACCCCTAGTAGCCAACATGAGTAAAAAACAAACGTCGCTGGAGAGCTTCTTTGAAAAGGGGGAAAGACCCAATGATGAACCCCCCGCCCCCCCCCCCCCCCCGGTCCGTGAAAAAAATTGTCTTCCACGAAACCGGTCCAAAGGTTATGGGGACCGCTGGTCAACAGCACTGCCCTGAAAGGGAGCAATCTCTGTGTAGTGAAGTGTTGTCGAGGGACTTGTCGAGTTTGTCCCACGTGAACTTGTGCACCGATTACAATGCTGGATCACGGGTGTATAGATACAGGCAGTGTGCGGTTTACAATGGTTCGATAAAGGATGATCCACATTTATGACGTTTACATGCAACCATACATCGATTTACGACACAGAAACTTGATTTACGACGCGTCTTCTAACACATTTAAATAGAGTCGGTTTGGTTCCCGATGTGACCTGGCGTGGAGATTTTCGTTATTCTCAAGTGTGTTTTGTGGATGTTTACCGATGAAACCCCGTTAAATACGCGCAAAGAAAAAAAAACGAGAAATACATCGGCAAGTGATGTTTCTAGAGTTTCTTCGAAAAAATGGGGTCCCGTTGACGACGACGCATTGTGACGTCATAACAGCGGGGACCGCCTGTACACACATCGATATTATATCGTTGTATTTAAATGCGAAACGATGGATAGGTCAAATTCTTACAATGGTTGACTGGCCATTGTAGATGCATGGACTGAACGCAGCATGGCAAGAGTGCTGCTCCCCCCACCCCCCCACCCTCTGTCGGCAGTGGCATCGCCATTTAAACTAACCACGTACAAACATGTGCGGCGTAATGCAGCTCTTCTCTCACACGGTACCAGTGCTTTGCAATAGAGAATCTGAAGAGTTTGCTGGCACAACGTAAAGAACAACAATTTTCACCCTTTCGCACATGGTGCGAAAAGCCAGTCATAGTAACAATAATAATTGCTCACATCCAGGTGCTGGCCAGATATGGGGGGAGGGGGGGGTGTCGAAGGCGTATGTGGGGGGGGGGGGGGCAAACGACGCTCACGTAAAATCGCTTCGCGTGAGCACAAAGACCGTGGCAACTGCTCATGAGTGCACCGCAGGCTCTCGCTCCTGAAAGAGTCCCGTCGGCTCCCCCCACCCCGGTGCCCGAGCCTCTGTTCGTCAGGCTGCCGACTGCACCAACCATCGCACCGTCATCCTTAAGGACCCCCCGCTCCCCAAGGATGACGCAACTCGAGTGTCCAGTGGAGCAGTGCACCCAAATCGTTTTCCTTTCAAGGCTGCCCCCGCCCCGTCCCGCTGGTGCGTTGCCCCACCGCACGACGCCGCTACACCGGGCAGATTTTGCTCACGGACTCCGAATGGGTGAGCAGTGGCTGAACGTGAGTGATGGCCGGGATTGGCATCCCTTGCTGCTGCTGCTGCCCTTGCTGCTGGCAAGGAGCTGTCGACTTGTCCGGAGGCTCGCCCATGGAGCTGGCCACAGCCATCGTTGGCTCCACGACCCCAGTGGCCGGGCTTGGAGCGACGGCGCTGGTGAACCTGGGTCCGCCCGCGGCCAGCGAGATGTTGTGCCGGTTGCCGGCGCTCTGCGTGTTCATGGACACCGTGTGCTCCGTGTTTTGCGGACCGGCCGTCTGGTTCGCGGAAACCTGCTTGAGGCCTTTGCACGGCAACACCTGCATGAAGCAGTCGCGGAACTGGGGAGGGGGGTCAAAGCACCAGCGCCTTTATCTCGTCTCGTGCTCCATTGGCGCTGTGGTGGCGAGATGTTAACTACATCGCCTGGAATACAGGAGGTCGTGGATGGGATCCCAACCCTGACGCCTGCTGTAAATTTGGAGTTTGCGTGTTCTCCCCGTGGTCACGTGGATTTTTCTCCGGGTCCTCCGGTTTTCCCCTCCACATTTAGAAACATGGGTTTCGAGTGTTTGGCTGTTATAAACGTTCTGTATAGTTCAGTGGGCCTTACCTGGTAAAACAAATAAATATAGTTTAGTGTATTTAAACAATTCACATCGGTTATTTTATTTGCTTGAACAAATGTTCAGGTATCTGCAGGAAGCAGTCACGGAGCAGCAAGGACGGAGCTCAAGTTGCCTTCATCCAGATTTGTCGTGAGTTATAGGGTGGCTCAAAAGTCAGAATACATCGGGTTATTTCATTTATCTATTTTTTAACAATGTTAAAGCTGGCTTCCATAAACATTAATGGATGATGCATGAGTTAATTTCGAACTTAAAAAAAACATATTACTAGTAGGAACCTCCTGGTTACACCAGCCCACAGGGGATTATTGTGTCCGTCCGTCGTGCATCCAAAAATGGGAGGGGTGGGGCTGGGTGGAGAGGTGAGGGTGGGGAGGGGCTGGGTGGGGAGGGGAGGGTGGGGAGGGGCTGGGTGGGGAGGGTGGGGCTGGGTGGGGAGTGGGAGGGGTGGGGCTGGGTGGGGAGGGGCTGGTCACCCCGTGGTGCCCTTATGAAACTCAACGTTTAACCTACTCACGCCGGCTTGTGCCTGCCCTCACAGTCGGGCATATTTGCGGAATACACCACGCCGCCGTTGACCCTGGCCATTGACCGAGCAACCCAACGTTCTTACCAGCTCCCTCCGCAGGAATGTGTTATAGTTACAGGAGTAATCTTTGAGCATTCATCAATTGTGTTTAGTTTCGATCCATTCAAGGTCCTAGATCGAGTTTTGTAAGCAACAGATTTGAGGTGACCCCCGCAGGGATGTTAACTTAGAGAATAAACTATTTGAAATGTGTTAATGGCATTGTTTGAATAAATAGCCCTATGTGTCCTGACTTTTGGACCACCCTTTATTATAATATAAACATCATTATAATTGTATAAGAGTTAGAGGTTGACATAAACCATTAATTCAATGCAGAGTAGTACTATCTATGGGACCATGTTTTGTCAGAATCAAAATGATGAAAACAGAAAAGGCAATAATACAGTGTTAAGACGTTCAAACACCAAGTAGCCAAATGTTGCAAGGCATCAAGTCGACATTGACCATACACGCTTGTGGTGAAACATGCAAACAAACACGCTTTGAAAATGTGCCACATTGTCCTTGGAGCGAACAGCACAAAGACAATGCAAAAATCGACGCGTTAATAGCTAGGGTTGAGCTGTTATATATATATGGGACTTTTAAATGTCTTTTTGATACCGGCAATTGTTTTTTTAAAGAAACTGTCTACTCGTATCTATTACAACTTCATGAGTGCTGTTCATTGCTGGCTGCTTGTTATTTGCGGGTATGTGTGCCTGTACTCAACAACAGTGATTTCTTTTTTCAAAAAATCCCCATACATAACCTCAGTTTGCTGGAATGTTGGTTCACAAATCATCGTCACCACCAGCAGCAGCAGCCTAAGCTTAACATCATCATCATCGTAATTTTGGATCATAAACATCCTTATTCGAATTGCAGCGCCACACACCGTGTACACGAGGGGTGACAGCACTTCATGAAAGTCCGCTAAACAAGACGCATTCACAAACCCACCTGCTCTACTGCCGGATGCATGTCTCTATGCGTGTGTGGTGATGGCCACTGACCCGCTGGTGTGCCGTGCTGGCTTTCATAGGTGCTGCTACTGGCTAACAGCCCTTGCCCCTGCTAAAGCCACATGGGGCATCATTGTTGTTGTTGTTGTTGCCTGGACGTGCCTGTGTGCTTAGTGCTGCAGTGCGCTACGAACCCAGCGCCCCGAGTTCGATTCCCGTTCACGTCCAACATCTTTGACGAATATCTGAAACGGTCGTGGGCCTCCCCGAGGTCGACTCAGCCTTAAAAGAGCACGTGTTGCTATGTGTAAGCATCGCCAACGAGGGAGACAAAGGCGGTCGGGCGTGATGTTGGTCATCTACCCCCCTTCGTGTGCCGTGCCGGCCTCGACAGCTGCTCGGAATTTGCCCAAGCGGTCCGTTAAGGGTCCGTCCATAAATGACGTCACGCGATTTTGGACGATTTTTGACCCCCCCCACCCTTCGTCACACGTCGTCACAAAAAGTCAGACCCCCCCCCCCCTCAAATATGACGTCACAACGCTCTGCCCCCCCCCCCCCCCAAAAAAAAATAAAACATGCTTCAAATAGCTTTAAACTATTGTCATTGTAGTGCGTATTTAATGTGGCGCTGCACTGATGTTGTAGGAGAAAACATTTATTAAAAAGTCGATTTAATAAAGTAGAACGTGTTGTCTATATTTATTTGAAGTGCGCATTTTGATGTGACGTCACATTTCTCAAACCCCCCCTCCCATGTCACACATCGTCACAAATGTCTGACCCCCTCCCCCCCCCTAGGTGCGTGACGTCATTTATGGACGGCCCCTAAGGGCCACACCGGGGGGATCTTTGCCCATTGCAGCACGCACGCCGAGCGCTCCACCTGCTTGTTCATGAAGATGTAGATGACGGGATTGTAGACGGTGGCCGTCTTGGAGAAGAAGGCCGGCACGGCCGCCAGGAGCGGGTCCAGGTGGATGGTGGGGCACGCGGTGACCACGATGGAGAAGGTGGCGTAGGGCATCCAGCACAGGAGGAACGCCAGGATCATCACCACCACCATGCGCGTCACCTGCTGCTCGGCGCGCCGCGTTGACTCCAGCCCCCGCTGCGTCTCCGACGCCTGGCCCGCCGAGCGTAACCGGGGGGGATAGCGCCCTCAACATTCCGGGAGGCTCAACCGGGACACGCTTGCTTGCTTAGGGCCGCGCAAATCTTTTGGTCGTTTTTTAACCCACTTCCCGTGATCCAATCGAGCTGACATTTTGCACACAGACTCGTTGTGCGTGACAATGCATTTTCGTGAGAAAAAAAAATTCCAAAATGTTACACTGTTTAGGGAAATTTTTTTAAATATTTAATTACCAATTGTTTAATGCTGCCAGACAATCATCTGACCCATAGGTGGCAGCCATCTCAAGCCAGAGAACGAGAGGACTCTAGCCGCCCCGATGCCACGCATATAAAGGATTTATAGTGAAAAACTTTCTTTTTACGGGTTTACTTGTTACTTAGATACGCCCACTCACTCACTAGTCCCCAATCGCTTGCCCCGCTCCCACCACACACACAATCGGCCACTCGTTCCCTCTGATGCTGGCCCTGCCTACTGTCTCTGTCCACTCTGCCCACGACTCAGGTAGGCCTGCCCCCCCCCCCTCCTGCCCTCCCTGCCCCCCACGCCCCCCCTGCCCTCCCTGCCCCCCACGCCCCCCCTGCCCCCCAGGGCCCCCCCCTGCCCCCCACGCCCCCCCCCCTGCCCCCTAACGTGCCAAGGTTGAAGCCAGAAAATTTTACTTTTTACGTGATGAGCCGTTGTCATTTTAACTTTGATGTGACTGTATTATTTTTCGTTTACAAGTCAATTACTGCATTGCATTGTTTGGCCATTTGGGAATTCTGTCACATTATTCATGGCAATCAGTATTCCAAACGCATTTGTGGCTTGATAAACGCAATTAATGTCATCAAGGCCATTCAATTATGACCAACATTTAATGCCTTTGGTGTGCGACGTGAAGCGACACTGAATTAAAACAAAAACTTCCCATTGGGTTGGCCACTGGGCAAGTGATGGATTTCCACATGTTGGGAGGAAACGTGGAGGCTCACAACTGTTGGTTTTCTATTTCAAGTGGTGCTCATTTTATTAGCTGCAAAGGTGACCCAGGACACAATTAAAACTCACAATCTTCAGATTTTTTTTATCAAACTCTCCGAACCACAAATAATCAATCATAGGCGATGTCCGATTTTAACACGAAACATAGAATTATGTTATTTAATTGAAATAAAATGACTGCATATATGTTTGCACGGACGTATGTTGAACTTATTTCACACCGTGCGTAGCCAACCGTGCTAATCGGAGGTGCGGGTTAATCAGGCATAAAATTAAAGCTGTGCTCCGTCTAAAGGGTCGGTGCGATCACTGAACATACCTTTTTGAGCTTCTGAATCAGCTTTCCGTACGAGAAGAATATCACAGCCAACGGGAATATAAAGCAGGTGGTAAAGAACATCATAATGAATGTGTGATCATGCAGCTCGCCAGAATACCTGCAAAGATAAAATATAAGGCGAAACTTTATCAGCATAGGCAATACAATCCATCATCAGACATTCCATTTTTAAATCCTTTATATTAAGTTCGCTTGCTTGCTTAGGTAGGACCGTGCAAATCTTTTGGTCGTTTTTTAACCCACTTCCCGTAATCCAATCGAGCTAACATTTTCCACACAGACTCGTTGTGCGTGACAATTAATGTTCGTGAAACATTTTTTCAAAAATTTTACACTTTTTAGGACAAAAATATTATATTTAATTACCAATTGCTTAATGGTTCAATGCAATCATCTGACCCATAGGTGGCAGCCATCTCAAGCCAGAGGACGAGAGGACTCTAGCCGCCACGCATATAAAGGATTTATAGTGAAAAACTTTGTTTTTACGGGTTATACTTATTAACACTGTATTCTTTAGTCGAAGTCACAATTCAAAATGTCTCCCTGCCTCATTGATCACTGGGGGCACAGTTGCTGATTCCTGTTGGAAGACCTTCGCCAGTGGTAGAGATTTCCACATTACAAGCCCTGCAATTGCTTGCTGAAGTCACTGCTGGTGGAATGGTCTCCACTCGTGGGAGCTCCAGAGAGCCTCCTCCAGAGGATATTTCTTAGAAGAGGAAAGAGTACGCACACTTCACCGTGCCACGCGCGCGACCTGCCGATCGACCAACCGTGGTGGTCAACTAGGGCTGAACGATTCATCGATTCCAAATGGAAATCTCAATTTGAAACAATGCGATTAGCAAATCGCAAAGGCTGCGATTTTTTTGCGATTTGAAAAGTCCCGTTACTTTCTTATTAAAATTGTTTTATTTTTTATTATTAGAACTTTTTTTTATTTAACTTAACAGTTCTATGTTTGATTGTTTTATTTCAATAAACACATTTTTATAAATACATGTCGGAAGCAATTAATATTATTTAAGTTCTCATCCTTGCATTAGAATACATAGAGCAGTTCATATTTTCATATCATGTGGTAATGCTCCATCACATGTTTAAAATCGATTACACAGTGAATATGGAACTGCAGCTTGACTTAAAAAAATTATCGCAAATCAAATCGCAATATCTGTCAGAAAAATCGCAATTAGATATTTTCAACAAATCGTTCAGCCCTCGTGTAAACCTATTACACTGCTGAGTGAACAGAGTTTAAGAAACCTGTACGATGGTTTGAACCATAGAGGGGGGCGGGCAGGGGTTCGCTTTGTCCCTCACATGAGGTGGATAGAACTAATTTATTTTTAATCTTAATTGTAAACTGCTGTGCCGGGAAATTGAATTAAACTGCCAACAAAAAAACATTATTTTAATTTTTTAAATGTTTTACCCGGTAAGGCCCACTGGGCTATGTAGCTCTTTGTCAGACGCGACCTGGCCACAAATTATAGCTCATGGAAGTGGATCGTCATGTGGAAATGTATAACACCCAAATACTCAAAATGCATGTTGATTCTAAATGTGGAGGAAAAAACCGGAGAACCTGAAGGAAAAACCCCACGCAAACCACGGGGGGAACATGCAAACTCCAAATATTCAAGCGGCAAGGATCGAGCCCACGACCTCCTGTGTACCAGGCGAGGTAATTAACAGCTAACCACTGTTATGCCCCTTGGATTGCACCGTTTGGAATGCTGGACCAGCATGCAAAACCACCACCACCACGGCAGCTGCCCTCTACCAAATACAGGACTCTTCCGATAAAACAATTCTTCACACTCATATATTCTTTGCTGGTTAATATGAATAGATTTTTCTAAAGCACCCAAAAGCAATGGATTTCAAAGCACTATATGTGTAGAGGAAGAACATAAGTGGAAAGTAACTGGTTATAGACAGACTTTATGAGACAAAATGGAGAACTGGGCACATAGAGGGAGGGGAATAGGCCGTGTTAAACAGATGTGGTGATAGGGGTCTTCAGTCGGGACTTAAAGTCTCCAACGACTGCGAGCTCCTGACCCTCCAAGGGGCGATGAATTCCCAGAGCCTGGACGCCGTGCGGACAAAACCCCCGTGGTGGTCACCCCAGGTTCGACACCTGGAGCGCGATCGGTGGATCTCAGACATCTCAAGCAATTGCCATCCACGACGATCGTTATTATTTGTATTATTACACTGGTCAACACACTTTTTCTGGCATAAGGTATTCCAACGATATTAAGGTGATTTTGGGGTGCTGATTCCAAATCTGGTATCAGTTTTTGTCTATCACATCATTATTGCATTTTCAATAAAAACTGCGGAAGAAAAATATTAAATAAATGTGGATATCTACATAAAATGATATTATAAACACACTATCCTAAAAATACAGCACCATATTTTAACACTAAAGCAGTCACTGACTCGCAACAACTTGCAATCATAAGTGACAGTTAATTTCGGGTAAAATCAATGAAAATGGGGTATGCCGATAGCATAAAATGAGACGTGATAGAGCAAATCTGAGATCAGATTTGGAATCAGCATCCTGAAATTAGTCTAAAACAGCTGCAAAAGTCCAGGCCAGAAAAAAAAGTTTTTTTTTTGTTGACCAGTGTCATCGCCGTCATCAGCATCGCACACTTACCAATTGGGCTCACAGGTGGTGCCGATCATGCTCGGACGATAGCTGCTCCAGCCCAGCACGGGCGGGATGGTGCACGCCAGCGAGAAGACCCACACCACGGCCAGACCCAGCACCGCGTGCTTCGACTGCAGACGGAAGTTCCCCAGCGGACGGCAGATCACGAAGTAGCGCTCGAAGGCGAGCAGGGCAAGCGACCACAGAGCAACCACGCCTGGGGGTGGGGGGGGGGGGTGCCCCACCACCACGTGCGTAGAGACAAAGAGAACCAATTGCACATACGTGTTTCTCTTTCTGTTTATCTTTGTGATATCTGTCTGCTTATATGTCTGTCTATAGTTTTATGGTTAGATTTTTGTTGCTATTTCTTTTATACCTGATGATGATTGCGTGTGTTGCAATCGAAACGTCGTAGTATGCTATTATTTAATTTATTATCTTATCTTTATACGTGACTTTACCGAAAGAACCAAAGAATAATTCCTGCAGTCACGAAAGCTCCAAAATTAAGATTGAATTCCACGTCACTACCACAATCACGCGCTCTCTCCCCCTAAACTAAAACTGAACTATTTATTTTATTATTCCAGAAGCGACCTGGGCACAAATGATAGCTCAAAAAGGTGGCTTATCTTGTGGACATTTATAGCAGACAAATACTCTAAACGCGTGATGTTGATTCTAAATGTGGAGGCAAAAACTGGAGGACGCGGAGAAAAATTCACGCGACCACGGGGAGAACACGCAAACTCCAAATATGCAGGCGTCAGGGTCAGGATCGAACCCACAACCTCCTGCATACCAGGTACTTAACATCTCGCCACCGCGGCGAGAGTCACGTACAGTGATAGGAGGTGCTGTTTTGTCTTCCCCCGCACCTCCAATTAGCACGGTTGGCTATGTACGGTGCGAAAGAAGTTCAATATATATATGCACGAGCCACTCATGAAAGGTTACCGCGTAGGTGCTCATGGTTTGGCTCTATTGTCGAGGGCGCTTAGTTTTACAAAGAAACAAAATTAATTGTCTAAGCCCTTCAGAATGTCTCATGTTAAGCGCGGCCCATGACCCATCTGGTTCATGCTCAGTGTTTTAAAAGTGGACGGCACATGTCGCGATGTTTAAAGTGTTATTATTATTGCTGCGCTTTATTCACTCATACGATTTTAACATGCGAAAACATACCATATAAAAGCGACGTTTCTGGCAATTGTTCTTCTTCGTAGCAAATAGATGCCAGAGTGATACGAATTGGAGACATTTGAGGCAGTGTTATTGACAAATGTGTTGAGTTTTTTTTCCTTCGTTATTTGTGCTTGGACACCGCTGTAAAATGCAGTTTCACGAAATTATGCGTTTCATGTCTCTTATTGTGATGCTGCTTGTTTACCCAGCAAACTCTCACCGAGTCTCTAGACTCTTTTCAAAAGGGTCCTGCCAGGTTTTTTTTTGTTCGCTCGCTGGAAAGGGGGCCGATAATGCTGCCGTGTGTAATCCCAATCGAGTAATTAGCAGATACATTTTTTTCGGCATTTGGATGTTTGGCCAATGACAGTCATATTTAGGATTTTTTTTAGCTATGCCAGGCACACCGGAGGACCTGGAGGAAAACCCATGCAGAACTGGGAGATCAGAACATACAAACTCCTTGCACAAAGGTGCCCAGGTCAGGAATCGAACCCAGGCCTTTCTCGGTGTGAGTCACAAGTGTTACCACTGCAACACCCTGTCAATAAATATAAAACAATATGTGTAAAAATGTAGGTACTTAATATTAAGTGTGAATATAATAAAAGCTTGATAACAATGAATGCATTAATTATTTCAATGAGCTTGACATTTCGCATGGCCAGAAAGGCTCTCCCTTCCCCCAAGTTATGCTGGCTTAGAGGTTTCACTCCACATCCGGGGATGGTGTCCACCTGAAAAACCCAGTTGAAGAATGGGAAATTCTCCTTGACTCGTCATGGCTCACAAACCGAGTGAAATGTAAAAGGTGGTTGTGTGTGGATGGTTGTTGTTGTCTGGTTGAGTGGGGAGCGGTGGCGGAGCAGTTAGCGTGCTGCGCTACGAAACTGTGTCCCGAGTTCGAACCCCGCTCACGGCCAACACCAGTGACAATTATCTGAACCCGTCCTGGGCCTCCCCCTAAGCCGACTCAGCCTCATGTGAGTACCTGGTGTGATGTGTAAAACATTGCCACTGAGGAGACAAAGGAGGCCGGGTGTGGTCCTGGACACCCACCCTCTCGTGTGTGTGTTTTCGGGGTTGTACCGCGTGTCGTCCGGCACGATGTCCGACGTTTCGCTCCATGCCCTGGGAGCTTTGTCAGGGACAACACATCGGAGAGCTCTAGAGTATACTCATGAAAACCCACGCATAAACTCTCCTCTCTTACGAATTTAAGAGTACTGTTAAATTGTTGCTGGGTGTGAAAGCAGGACAATTGCCAAGACCCGACAGAGCAAACTAGAAGCAACAGAAATCTGGTCAGACGAGATAAGTGCAGTAATACATTTATAGCGATTAGAGGAAGGCAATTTAGATTTCTTGGAAATGTAATTATTAAACAAGAAACTGAATATAATTTATTTTGTCTTGACATCACGGGATGTCACTGTGCAGTGCCGGCCCGTAGAGAGGCACGGCGTGTGGTGTGACGACACCGCGGACACCACGAGGATGTGGCTGTAGTACCGGCCCTAGAGGGGCCCGGTGAGCGCTGATTTTATCGCGCTAGATGGCACCACGCTTGGAGTGCAGTGCCAGCCCTACAGGACAGGGTGTGGGAGTGCCGGCCGTAGGAATGAGGTTACTAAAAGCCATGGCACTCTGATTGACCCGAGAGGACACGTGACCGTTTAAGTCGACAAAGGGGCCCAAGTGGGGGCTAGGGGTGGTCACGTGGTTTAGCATCCAGATCCTTCCCGAGGATTCTGGAAGGTGGGCGTTGCCAAGGGCGGAGCCGGCCACGCCGCAGAGAATATAAGCAGGGTCCCTAGAGGGACCGGTGTTGTTGTTCATCCTGAAGAAACCTTCGTCTACGTTCTACCGAGTCTCCAACACGTGGACCTGGACCCGAGCTGTGGTCCCAGTCCGTAGTAGCAGTTACGTTGTAATTAGTGTAATTAACCTGGTGGTCACCACCACAGGTTGTTATTCTGTTAAGGGGAAAGTTACCCCATGTGTTGGCGTTAAATAAATGTGTTGCCTCCAAGTCTATGTCTGCGACTCAGTTGAACTCACTACACTTTGATTGAGAATATTGTAGGCACAACACAAAGCCAGGGATGATGGCAAATTAAGTCAGCAGTGTGAACAATTGGACGCAACAGGGAGCATTTGATGCTCCCTGTAAATATCATGGACAGAGCTAAATGGAAGGAAGGCCATGTCGTCGTTGAGATAGGACACGGCTCGCAGAAAGGGAAAGAGAGAGATAACACGATGTAACACGATTTTTGTTCCTGGGTAGTAAGTGTTATTTCGTAATTGATTATGCCTAAAAAGTATAGAAAATGGATATTATTCCCTACAGTTTACTCAGCACAGAATCTATCTGTAATGTTCTGGAAAATAGGTAAATTTCAAAATATCCTGGTCACAAAAGCAAAATTTGTGGAGAATAATAATCTTTTTATGTATTTTTCAGGCATAGGCAATGAGGAGATAACACTTACCCAGGAACAAAAAAACACAATTTGTTACACAGTGTATAATCATGGCAGCGATGTATAAACACACAAAGGTAAATTCAATGCGTCTGCTATTCATAATAAGATTTTCTTTTTCTTCTAAGCATGCTCCACATAATGTCATATATTACACTGCAATCTGCAATAGCAGGCGTCAGTAGGAAGTGAGAATTATGGAGAATTTTGGAGAGGCCACGATTACCGAAGTGTCTTAAAAACAAGACGTGACACAAAGACAAAGATACCCCATATAGCCTTAACAGGCTGTAGGGGCAAGTGCTGTTAGCGAGCACCAATAAAGGCACATGGAGGGGTGGGTGGCCAGTACCACGTCTGACCGCCTTTGTCTCCCCAGTGACGATGTTTACACGCCGCACCAGGTACTAAATTGCGGCTGAGTCGACCTAGTTGAGGCCCAGGACCGGTTCAGATAATCGCCACCGGTGTTGGCCGTGAGCGGGAATCGAACCCGGGTCGCCGGGTTAGCGCGCTAACTGCTACACTGCCGCTCGCCACACACGTGACACGTGCACACACGTGACACGTGCACACACGTGACACGTGCACACACGTGACACATGCACACACGTGACACACAGAGAGACAGAACTGTTTGAACCTCCGGGCCCTTACGCCAGAGGTCGCAAACGGGTTTTGATTCCGTACCCGGCCGGGTACGGGTACCCGTTCCCTACCCGAAATGAGTGACAAACAGTTACTCACCAGTGACTCACGGCCTACCCGTACCCGGCCGCACCAGGGTCGCAAACGGATACCCATACCTGGCCGGGTACGGGTAGCCGGGTATCGGGTAGGGTACGGGTATCGGGTACCCGGTTGCGACCTCTGCCTTTACGCCGGTCGGCCAACCGGCGCGTCACGCTCCACTTCACCTACCGAAGTAGGTGACCGCGAAACCCTCGAGCACACAGGCGTGGACGCCGAGGAAGAAGTATCCCTTGATGTTGGTGAAGAAGCTGACGCTGCCGCCGATGGCCGACACCAGGAGGTCGGCGGCCGCCAGGTTGACGAGCACGTAGTTGAGCGGCTGCCGCAGCTGGCGAAAGCGAGCGGTGACCACGATGACGGCGAAGTTCTCGCCGAGCGAGAGCGCCGTGATGGTGCCCATGAGCGCCGCCAGCATGGTGAAGTTCCACGGCGCGATGCTCTCCAGGGGCCTCTCGAAGGGGTTGTGCGTCGTGGCGATGGTGCCGTCGCCGCCGGTAGCCGAAGGGAGCGCCGACGGGAGGCTGTGGTGGGACGGTGGGCTCTCCTGCAGGGCGTCCATGCCGGATTCACCACCACCACTCTACCCTCCTCCTCCCAATCGACACCCACGCTGGGCCTGCGTAGGGAGAGATGGTGTGTGTTGCAAGGGAGACATCTCCAATTTCCAACCCCCCAACGCCAAATCGGCCAGGGTCTCAATAACGGCCATCACCGTCACCACCACGAAAACTAAACATGTGTTTGTATCTCGATTTAAAGCTTTCGTGACTGCAGGGATTCATCGGCATGTGTTTGTATCGTTAAAAGATTACACGTGTACGGTAATCTTTTTTTTTCAGTATAAAATAAAAAATAATGCATCGTGCATTAATGTTTACGTGAAGCTAGTTTGGACATTTGTTAAGACCAAATTAAATGTCCCTGACTTTTGGGGCCACAAGGTAATTTGTGCTTTGTCCTCGCAGTTCCGCGACTACTTCCTGCAAGGCGTTTCAACGTTTAACAAAACATTTCAAAACGCGATGTGATTTGTCAAAATAAATTTAAACTCCTTTTTATTTTACCAGGTAAGACCCACTGAGCTACATAGCTCTTTTACAGAAGCGACCTGGCCACCAACGATAGCTCAACGAAGTGGCGTATCACGTGCAGAAATTTGTAGCGGCCAAATAACTCGAAAAGCACATTGATGCTAAATGTGGAGGGAAAAACTGGAGGACCCGGAGAAAAATTCCGCGCGACCACTGCGGGGCGAGAGACACACAAACTCCAAATTAACAGGGTGTCAGGGTGGAGATAGAATCCACAACCTCATACATACCCGGCGGGGGAGTTAACATCTTGCCACTGCGCAAGCCCGCGGACACCGATGCGCTTAACCTTCGACAACGCAACTTGAACCCTGGCGAGGATTTAGATTTCGATTTAAAGCTTTCGTGACTGCAGGGATTCATCTTCTTGGTTCTTTCGGTAAAGTCACGTAGAAGGGAAATAATAAAATAATACAACATAATAAAATTATGTTTTATTTTTATTATATAACGGATGACTTGAAATTGAAAGGGAAATAATAAAATAATAAAAATAAAACATTCTATTATGTCTTCTTTTTATTATGTTATTATTTATAATGTTTTATTTTTATTATTTCATTATTTCCCTTCTACGTGACTTTACCGAAAGAACCAAGAAGACCTGGCGAGGATGTTTGAAAAGCCGGACGGAGGTTCATGAGGAGTCTGCACACCAACGCCTGCTCGTGAAAGACCCAACGGCGCAGAAGATCCCTGGCCTAGGTCGTCCGCGAAGCTTCTGGGCCACAATTATTTTGGGAAGGTTAACCAAAGATAGTGTTAGTCATTTACGTTATTGTAATTATATAACGGATGACTTGAAATTGAAAAGCTAAGATTATGTCACGTTCTTATAATTGTAGTGAGGTATCCATGAATAAATCATTAATTTATATTTTAAAAAATTACGATGTCACTTTAATTTAAACCGTGGATATTAGCACCATGATATTTTTAGTGATAATTGATCATTGTTATAGTATAGTAATTGAATGACATTGATTTTACCTGAACTGCTAGAGTTAAGTAATGCTATCATGAATTAATTTAATAAGATAACTTAAATCGACAATCTACTCATCATTATTAATAATAAATCGTTTTTTAAGCAGCCCTCAGTTTATCAGTTGTTTTTCAAATTCAATCGATTCCCTCATTCATCATTGCCAACAATGAGTCGTTTTACACAGGATTGTAACATCACTTTTAATTGCGTGCCCTTCCTAACGCGTGTTCTGCCAAGCGCGGACAACTGTGTCTTTGAGTTTTCTGGGAATTAAGCAATCTCATTTTAATTACGTTATGATCGATCACTTGGCAAACCCCTGCGCACCAACATTGCTTCTCTTGAGGACCGCGTGAAATCCATTCACTATGACATGAAGCCATCAAATGGAATTCTAACTCGGAGATCGATGTATGATTTCTACACACATTTCGTATTGTGTGAAAGAAGAATGAAACGTTGTTATCACATGCTCCGCTTCTGTATGGATGTATATGTCGAAATTCTTTCGCACCGTACGTAGCTAACTGTGCTAATCGGAGGTGCAGGGAAGGACAACAAACTAAACACAGTTCTAAAGAAAAAAGAAAATTTCAATCGACATTTTTCAATCTACTTCTCGGAGCCATGTACAGGAATTGGGTTCCCGAAATGTTTGATACAACCTTTGGTATCCAGACATGGCCTGACCCATGAACTAAAGCCTGCGTACTGTGGTGATGGTGGTGGTGGCATCCTTGGAGGCCCAAGTTGCGCATATTGGGTGCATTGACAAGAATGCAAAACACTATCCTAACTTTTGATTTAAAGCTTTCGTGACTGCAGGGATTCATATTCTTGGTTCTTTCGGTAAAGTCATGTATTATTTCCCTTCTACGTGACTTTACCGAAAGAACCAAGGATACCATCCTAACTATTGTGGTTGTTAACCGGTAACCCTTTTAAGAATCGGTTCCCGAAAGTCAGGAAGCCGGTCATTCCCAGTTGAAAGTTTCGTGACAAATGCACCGATTGGCGTTTGCAAGCGTACACATCGGATGGCGTAGTAGGTGGTGTATTTGCCCCCTCGTTTTCTCAGTTACTAGCAAGACGTGAAGCCCTATGGTCGCTTGCTCACACCGCAGCATGCACTTGCAGGAGCTCTAGAGGGTTTATGGTCTACTCTTCCACACTGATCAGACGTGTTGAAAACCTCGGTAACTATTCTTGCTTGTCTCCGTGCTCTCAACTGGCTCCCCATCGCCAGCAGGGTCACATACAAGACCGCCTGCCTCTGCCACAACGCCTTCATATTCGCCTGCCCGCCGTAGCTTTCTTCATTATTGACAACTTGCAGCTCAGCACACGGCAGATGCCTGCGCAGCGCGACTCACGACCTCCTCTCGATACCAAGATCCAGGATGGTCACCGTGTCTATGCGCCGCTTCTCGGTGGCAGCCCCAACAGACTGGAACGATATCCCTCTGCACATTCGCAGCATCACCTCAATCGCCTCCTTCAAGAGAGACTTAAAAACGCACCTCTACAATCATGCTTCTGAGCGACTCTGAGCTTGGCTCCGCGCCTCTGAGTTGCGGCCACTACGTCTGCAAATTTGCGCGCGTTACAAATTGAACTATTATTATTATTCATACAGTGGGGTTATCATTTTTACACCGTTACCAGTAAAGGGGCCGTCCATAAATGACGTCACGCACCTGGGGGGGGGTCAGACATTTGTGATGATGTGTGACGAGGGGGGGGGGGGGTTGAGAATTGTGACGTCACGTAAAAATGCGCAACTTTACATAAATATGGACAACACGTTCGACTTAATTAAATAGACTTTTTAATAAATGTTTTCTCCTACAACATCAGAGTGCAGCGCCACATTAAATACGCACTACAATGACAATAGTTTAAAGCGATTTGAAGCATGTTTTTTTTTTTTGGGGGGGGGGGGGGGCAGAGTTTTTTGACGTCATATTTTACGGGGGTCTGATTTTTGTGACGCCGTGTAACGAAGACGGTGAGGGGGGGGGGGGGTTAAAAATCGTTAAAAGTCGCGTGACGTCATTTATGGACGGCCCCAAAGCTAACGAAAATGTTGCAACCACCCTAACTCTAACTTATCAAATAGTAAGATGACGGTTGCTCGTGTTGCGATCGAAACGTCGTGATTTATTATTTTTCTACCCACGTGACTTTACCGAAAGAACCAACGAATATGGATTCCTGCAGTCACGAAAGCTTCAAATCAAGATTGAGTAAGAGTACATTTTTACTCAAACAATTTGAGAGTACTCTTTGAAGCACAACGCTTTGGGGTTCAAAGTCAGGTTCTCTCTCTACCCTCAATGCGAACATTCACCCATCGAAAGCCATTCTCCCAGCCAGTGGTGACGATGTCCCATCACGGGTTTTGATCATTCACGTTAATTTCATATTCACACATTCCCGTGAGATGCCAGGAGAGATATCCACAAGCGATAGAGCGGCGGAGGTGAGAGAAAAGTGGACGCGAGATGACGGTGCAATTGGATGAGAGGCTTGTGCTGCAGACACGATAGAGACGGGACGGAGTTTAACACTTCGTAGGCTTTCGCGACCAATATTTGCCATAATACAGGCTGGGTTTTTTAGGGGTAAGATCGCATGCATATACATGTGTCGTTAAACCCGCCACCACCCGACACAGCCAATAAGTAAGGTTTGTCACGTAAACAGAACATGGCAATTCGTCACTAGTACAGCACACCTGTGTGTTGGTGAGTAAACCCACAACATTTGCAATCTGAATGGAGTAATGAGCTGTTTTATATGAATTTGCGGTTTTGAGTTCAGATCTGAAATCGTATCCAGATTTATATAGCGTCTTATCCCAAGATGCTTTACAACAATCATAAAAGTGTGCATAAGATGATAGTGGTTGGGGTAAAGAGTGGGGTTGTTATTAAAAGTGGTGGCGTAGCTAACTATGGTGACAGGAGAACAGGCGGTACCGATAAAGGAGGGTTTGAGGTAGTGATAGGGGTTGGAGTCGTAATAGGGGTTGGGTTAGTGATAGGGGTAGTGGTCGATATTGTGGTAGGGGCTTGGGTAGTAATATGGGTTGGGTAGAGATAGGGGTAGTGGTCGGGGTAGTGATAGTGGTAGGGGTAGTGATAGTGGTAGGGGTAGTAATAGGGGTTGGGGTAGTGATAGGGGTTGGGTAGAGATAGGGGTAGTGATAGGGATAGTGATGGGGGTTGGGGTAGAGATAGGGGTTGGGGTAGTGATAGGGGTTGGGGTAGTGATAGGGGTTGGGGTCATGATAGGGGTTGTGTAGAGATAGGGGTTGGGGTAGTGATGGGGGTTGGGGTAGTAATAGGGGTTGGGGTAGTGATAGGGGTTGGGGTCGTGATAGGGGTTGTGTAGAGATAGGGGTTGGGTAGAGATAGGGGTAGTGGTAGGGGTAGTGATAGGGGTTGGGGTAGTGATAGGGGTTGGGGTAGTGATAGGAGTTGGGGTAGTGATAGGAGTTGGGATAGAGATAGGGGTTGTGTAGAGATAGGGGTA